TTGATCAGGTTCAAGTCCAGGCTCTGGCTGGGCCACTCAAGGACATTCAGAGACATGTCCCGAAGCCACTCCTGTGTTGTCTTGGCTGTGTGCTTAGGGTTGTTGTCCTGTTGGAAGGTGAACCTTCGCCCCAGTCTGAGGTCCTGAGCGCTCTGGAGCAGGTTTTCATCAAGGATCTCTCTGTACTTTTCTCCGTTAATCTTGTGTGCGGCTGCTCGGCCATGGAAACCCTTTTCATGAAGCTCCCAACTAACAGTTATTGCGCTGACATTGCTTTCAGAGGCAGTTTGGAACTCAGTAGTAAGTGTTGCAACCGAGGACAGACGATTCAGCACTCGGCGGTCCCGTTCTGTGAGCTTGTGTGGCCTACCACTTTGTGGCTGAGCCGTTGTTGCTCCTAGACGTTTCCACTTCACAATAACAGCACTTACAGTTGACTGGGGCAGCTCTAGCAGGGCAGAAATTTGGCGAATTGACTTGTTGGAAAGGTGGCATCCTATGACGGTGCCACGTTGAAAGACACTGAGCTCTTCAGTAAGGCCATTCTACTGCCAATGTTTGTCTATGGAGATTGCATGGCTGTGTGCTCGATTTTATGCACCTGTCAGCAACAGGTGTGACTGAAATAGCCGAATCCACTAATTTGAAGGGGTGTCCACATACATTTGTATATATAGTGTATAAATATAAAGTTTATATATGGGTGCAGTTGGACACATAGTTAAATGCACTAAAGAGGAACAATGGGTACATATCAGTGGAGGCTGCTGAGGGGAGGATAGCTCATAATAATGTCTTGAACGAAGCATATGGGATGGCATCAAATCCATGGAAACCATGTATTTAATGTATTTGATACCATTCCAGTGATACCGCTCCAGCCATTACCACGAGCCCGTCCTCCCCAATTAAGGTGCCACCAACCTCCTGTGATACATATTGAAGATGTGCATGCTCATCCCCAGAATCTTTTTACATGTCTATTTTCAAAGGATAAAGCTAAGAACCTTAACAACTTCATAGTTAAGAACACTGTAACAATATGGAAGAAAATGAAACGTATTCTACAAGAACCAATATCACTTCCTAAAAACACAACCTGGTGGAACAATCCTTGGATAGCTTTTCACAATTCACAGATAAATTGGTCAACATGGTAAACTAAAGCCATAGAAACTGTAAATTACTTGATAACAGGAAATACATTTATTTCCATAACAGATTTTAAAAGTAATTTTGGACTGACCAATGTAGATATTTTCAAATATATGCAACTTAAAAGTGATATATCACGAAATTTGCTTTTGGACATCAGAGCAACCTTAAGGGAATCTTATTTCAGCCAGAAAAGGATACTCATATGATAGGTAATATATACCAAACCTTGCAGAGACCCTATCCAACTGACAATCTCTTAGAACAAACTATAAACTATTGGATCCAAGACTTAAAAAGAACTGATGTTGGCACAATATGGAGGGAATGTTGGAGCATAACTAACGAAAATGTATGCTTAAACCATTATAAACTAATGTGTAGAATTTATTATACAAGAGACAAAATTCACAAACTCAACAGCACAACAGTAGAGTCATGTCTTCAGTGTAAAACTAACAATGACTCAATTTGTTTTCTGGGAATGCTATAAAGTCCAAAAGTTATGGGGGGAGCTAGAAAGTTGGCTGTCAGAAGTATTACAATGTAAACTTACTTTTACTCCGTCTGTCTGCATATTTCAAGACATGGCATGTGGGGGTGTAGTGAAATACCCAATGTGCTGGACGATTCTCTTCTCATCAATCTATACAAAAACGTGGAAATCAATCATGAATCCTCCATCATTAACACAATGAAAACATCTAATGATTTATTATTGAAATATTGAAATAGCATGGGAGACCGAGAAAAACAAGGATGGGGGTGTGAGCATGCAGGTCTGGGCAGATGAGATGTAGTCATTGTTTGTGTGTGTCTGTAACACAGGAGGTTGGTAGCACCTTTATTGGGGAGAACGGGCACGTGGTAATGGCTGGAGTTGAATCAGTGGAATGGTATCAAATATTCAATTAGCTCCATTCCAGCCATTATTATGAGCTGTCCTCCCCTCAGCAGCCTCCACTGGTCTGTAAGTTGTTGTTCATATGTGTTTGTATTTGGTGTGAACTTTTTTTATACAAAAATGTATAATAATAATACAATAAAAAATAAGTTCCTGTTTGGGTTGTATTATAGTTTAGATTAGGTGGATTTACTCAACTCAATCAAATCATCTTAAATAAATAGTTGGTAGAAAGTTGCTATATAAGCCAAGGAGTAATCACGATATAGACATTGGACAGGCTTGAGATGAAATACAGGTCTAGTTTAATTAGTGGTGTTTATTTCATGTATTTTATTAGTGGTGTTTATTTAATATCAGTTGAGGCAGGATTATATTCCAGTAGGATGAGTTGAGTGTGATGTAGGTTTCAGGGTCAGGATATTAAGTGAATGGATGTGACCTGAGTGCTAGCTGCTAATACGTCTGTGTCCAGACAGCCATGAATGTAGTCTGCTGTTAGCTTCTCTGTGGACATGTGCATTGGACCGCACGTGGCCTTGTGTGTGTGATAGTATGAATTTTGTGCAGTGTTAGTTTGGTAGTAATTGTAGTAGCCTTAGGGTCTTCAATTGTAAGTGAAAACACACATGCAAGCAGAGGAAATCTTCACCATCTGTATGTGTTCCTAAACCGAAACCCACAGATCCCTCTCAGGGCTAGACCTCCTAATGATACACAGTACTACAAGGTGCTGCAGCTGCAACCTAGTTTACTGCAGATCAGGACTATACAACTACAGGCCTAGAGGGCCTACTACTACTGCTTATCTGTACCTGATTGGCTAATTGTCTGATTCATGTCACTAATTGGCCAGAGGGCCAGTGGCGTGTATTCATGGATGCCAAGGGAATTCAGGCTTCCCCAAAAATTTAACCAATACAAAAAGAAAATAAACATGTAAAATCAGGTATTTTGCCTCTGTGTTTTATAATTGTCCTTCAATTCGCAAGTGGCTAAATGTATCTCACTGGAAAGCTTCAGACTGAGCGAAACAGCGCCCCTCTGTCTCAGTATGTGTAGCCCATCTATCTGATGCTGTCTGGTCAAAAATAGTATGACATTGTTGCCACCCATAGCATTGAATGCAAGGGAAGCCAGCGAGCATTTGGCCTCCCTTGATATTTTTTAAATAAAATAATAGCCAGTCAGCGTTGAGCTGAACTGTGAATGGTCCTGGCGCACCAAAAAAATGTGTCAAGGGAAGCCAGTTTGGATTTGGCTTCACACCAATCACATCATGTCAAAAGCAAAATGTCATTGACAGAAAACATTTGAATTGTTCCATCTCGTTGTATTAGCCCTCCGGTGGCTAGCTAGCTAAAATCTTCCCTTTCCTAAATAAACCATGGACGGAGATGGGGATTTGGACTTGATTATAACAGCGATTCTGATCCAACCATAAAATCATACAATGTGCCCCTGGCCTGAGAGGATGGAAATTCAATATGTGGCTCATCGTTGCCCATGAAAGTAAGTTAGGCTAGTTATCAAGCCTTTTAGTCAGGTAGCCTAGTCTAGGATAACAAAAACTAAAAGCGTGTAGGCTACTGACAGAGTCATAGACCGTTTTGGCAACATGAAAGAGAGGAGGATGGTATTGGCATTCCTCTACAAGTAGGGTGAGTCAACATGTTTTTTCTACTTGCGCACACACACACGAACACACACACACACACACACACACACACACACACACACACACAGAAATCAGTACCATGGACAGCCAAATGATATATAGCTTACATTGATTGAACTAAATTGCTTTTGGTATCTTTAAGTTGTCCCTGTATTAGACTAAGCATAAGTGATTTGATGATGTTGAAATGTTGAAGTTGAAATGGTGCTGGAATGACATTAGCGGAGGCAGCCCTTGATTTGTGTGACCTGTGATAACTCTCCGTGGTTCCAAATCAATAGTTTGTTTTTACATGAACTTGCTTGACCGAAAACATGAACTTGCTTGACCATGCTGTAGGTCATGTTTGTTACATGCAATATGCTTTGTGGACTTCACCAGAGAGATGTTGCTGTCTGGGTTTGTGCTGAAAAAAATGTGTGGTTCAATTTATTCTGCCGACTGTGACTGTCTTGTTGTCTCAGCCTTATCACGGTTGCGTATGAACTAACGGGTTATAGACCCCTTTCTGTGTTTGCAAACATTGCCGCACGAGGGCGGTGAGCACAAGTTGGTGGCAGAACACGGGGAGTAAAATCGCTCTTTGGCTAGCGTTTGCTGCAGCCTATGTCAATGAGCGTTAGCATTCTAGCTAACAACTGCTGCATCCTAAATTGTTATTTTGCAAAGATCACAACCAAATATAATCTTAGCGACTGTTCCAGCAAGAATCAAAACATCATCGTAAGTGTATGAGAACCCAAAAAAGTTATTTTGCTCAGAAGTAATAAAAACATAAAGGCTATGTTGAATGGGCGCAGATGGCGATGGCTTTCTTACTGCAGCCAAGAGTCGCGAGCAGTATGTCATGTACTGGAAAGGGGTCTATAGAGCAACAAACAACTAAATTATCATAACACATAGGTTGAAATATGGATTTTACCCATGCACCGCTACTGCAGAGAGCCTACTCACCTGGTGTTCCCTGAAGATTAGAAGGAGGGAGTGAAAAGCTGAATGTTATTCTTAATATCAAATATCAAAATTAATTTAATTATAATTTCTCCTAATTGTCATTTCCATGGCTAATTGTTACTTAACAATCCATTTATGTTTCATCATGACCTCACTTCCTGTTTCCTGTCCCCAACAGGAAGTGGTTCCATCGTACCTGGCGACATCGCCTATCGTGTCCCAGGGGGCGGAGCTAATGGAAGCTCAGTTAGGGAGGGGTGTGTCTCGCCTCTCTGACCCCGCCTCCCTCCAGGTCCAGACCCTGGGCTCCCAGCAGACCACAGGAGGAGGAGGAGGGGAAGGAGGGATGATGATGAAGAAGAGGAGGAAAAGGAGGAGGAAGGCACGGGAAAGCGGAGGAGGGAGGCGGGAGGAGAGTGGGGAGTACTCAGAGGATGAGGACATGTTTACCATCGACATGAGCACTGATGAGGAGAGAGAGCACGACAACAACAGTAGCAGGTGATTACAGCAAATACAGTATTTAAATTATTTGCCACATGCGCCGAATACAACAGGTGTAGACCTTACAGTGAAATGCTTACTTACAAGCCCTTAACCAACATTGCAGTTTTTAAGAAAAAAGTGTGTTAAGTAAAAAATAGATAAGTAAAAAATAAAAAACAGCAAATAATTAAAGAGCAGCAGTAAAATAAAATAACAGTAGGGAGGCTATATACAGGGGGTACAGGTACAGAGTCAATGTGCGGGGGCACCGGTTAGTCGAGGTAATTGAGGTAATATGTACATGTGGGTAGAGTTAAAGTGACTATGCATAAATAATAAACAGAGTAGCAGCAGCGTAAAAGAGGGGGCTGGGGTGGGGTGGGGTGGGGGGGGGTCATTGCAAATAGTCCGGGTAGCCATGATTAGCTGTTCAGGAGTCTTATGGCTTGGGGGTAGAAGCTGTTAAGAAGCCTTTTGGACCTAGACTTGGCGCTCCGGTATCGCTTGCCGTGCGGTAGCAGAGAGAACAGTCTATGACTAGGGTGGCTGGAGTCTTTGACAATTTTTAGGGCGTTCCTCAGACACCGCCTGGTATAGATGTCCTGGAAGGCAGGAAGCTTGGCCCCAGTGATGTACTGGGCCGTACACACAACCCTCTGTAGTGCCTTGCGGTCGGAGGTCGAGCAATTGCCATACCAGGTGGTGATGCAACCAGTCAGGATGCTCTTGATGGTGCAGCTGTATAACTTTTTGAGGATCTGAGGACCCATGCCCATGTCTCTTGAGGGGGAATAGGCTTTGTCGTGCCCTCTTCACGACTGTCTTGGTGTATTTGGACCATGATAGTTTGTTGGTGATGTGGACACCAAGGAACTTGAAGCTCTCAACCTGTTCCACTACAGCCCCGTCGATGAGAATGGGGACGTGCTCAGTCCTCTTTTTTTTCCCTGTAGTCCACAATCATCTCCTTTGTCTTGATCACGTTGAGGGAGTTGTTATCCTGGCACCACACGGCCAGGTCTCTGACCTCCTCCCTACAGGCTGTCTCATCGTTGTCGGTGATCAGGCCTACCACTGTTGTGTCGTCGGCAAATTTAATGATGGTGTTGGAGTCGTGCATGGCCATGCAGTCATGGGTGAACAGGGAGTACAGGAGGGGACTGAGCACGCACCCCTGAGGGGCCCCCGTGTTGAGGATCAGTGTGGCAGATGTGTTGTTACCTACTCTTACCACCTGAGGGCGGCCCGTCAGGAAGTCCAGGATCCAGTTGCAGAGGGAGGTGTTTAGTCCCAGGGTCCTTAGCTTAGTGATGAGCTTTGAGGGCACTATGGTGTTGAACGCTGAGCTGTATTCAATGAATAGCATTCTCACGTAGGTGTTCCTCTTGTCCAGGTGTGAAAGAGCAGTGTGGAGCACAGTAGAGATTGCATCATCTGTGGATCTGTTGGGGCGGTATGCAAATTGGAGTGGGTCTTGGGTTTCTGGGATAATGGTGTTTATGTGAGCCATGACCAGCCTTTCAAGCACTTCATGGCTACAGACGTGAGTGCTACGGGTCGGTAGTCATTTAGGCAGGTTATCTTAGTGTTCTTGGGCACAGGGACTATGGTGGTCTGCTTGAAACATGTTGGTATTACAGACTCAGTCAGGGACATGTTGAAAATGTCAGTGAAGACACTTGCCAGTTGGTCAGCGCATGCTCGGAGTATACATCCTGGTAATCCGTCTGGCCCTGCAGCCTTGTGAATGTTGACCTGCTTAAGTCTTACTCACATCGGCTACGGAGAGCGTGATCACATAGTCATCCGGAACAGCTGATGCTCTCATGCATGCTTCAGTGTTGCTTGCCTCGAAGCGAGCATAGAAGTGATTTAGCTCGTCTGGTAGGCTTGTGTCACTGGACAGGTCGTGGCTGTGCTTCCCTTTGTAGTCTGTAATAGTTTTCAAGCCCTGCCACATCCAATGAGCGTCAGAGCCGGTGTAGTATGATTCAATCTTAGTCCTGTATTGACTCTTTGCCTGTTTGATGTTTAGTCGGAAGGCATAGCAGGATTTCTTATAAGCGTCCGGGTTAGAGTCCCGCTCCTTGAAAGCGGCAGCTCTACCCTTTAGCTCAGTGCGGATGTTGCCTGTAATCCATGGCTTCTGGTTGGGGTAGGTACGTACGGTCACTGTGGGGACGACGTCATCGATGCACTTATTGATGAAGCCAGTGACTGATGTGGTGTACTCCTCAAAGCTATTGGAAGAATCCCGGAACATATTCCAGTCTGTGCTAGCAAAACAGTCCTGTAGCTTAGCATCTTCGTCATCTGACCACTTCCTTATTAACCGAGTCACTGGTGCTTCCTGCTTTAGTTTTTGCTTATAAGCAGGAATCAGGAAGATAGAGTTATGGTCAGATTTGCCAAATGGAGGGCGAGGGAGAGCTTTGTATGCGTCTCTGTGTGTGGAGTAAAGGTGGTCTAGAGTTTTTTTTCCTCTGGTTGCACATTTAACATGCTGGTAGAAATTAGGTAGAATGGATTTAAGTTTCCCTGCATTAAAGTTCCCAGCCACTAGGATGAGCGTTTTCCTGTTTACTTATGGCCTTATACAGCTCATTGAGTGCAATCTTAGTGCCAGCATCGGTTTGTGGTGGTAAATAGACAGCTACGAAAACTATAGATGAAAACTCTCTTGGTAAATAGTGTGGTCTACAGCTTATCATGAGATAGGCGAGCAAAACCTCGAGACTTCCTTAGTATTAGATTTTATGCACCAGCTGTTGTTTACAAATATACACAGACCGCCATCCCTTGTCTTACCGGAGTCAGCCGTTCTATCCTGCCGATGTAGCATATATCCCGCCAGCTGTATGTTATCTATGTCGTCGTTCAGCCACGACTCGGTGAAACATAAGATATTACAGTTTTTAATGTCCCGTTGGTAGGATAACCTTGATCTTAGGTCGTCCAATTTGTTTTCAAATGATTGAACATTGGCTAATAGGATTGATGGAAGAGGCAGTTTACTCACTCGCCGTCGGATCCTTACAAGGCACCCCGACCTACGTCCACGATATCTCCGTCTCTTTCTCATGCGAATGACGGGGATATGGGCCTTGTCGGGTGTCTGTAGAATATCCTTCACGTCCGACTCGTTGAAGAAAAAATCTTTGTCTAATACGAGGTGAGTAATCGCTGCCCTGATATCCAGAAGCTCTTTTTGGTCATAAGAGACGGTGGCAGAAACATTATGTACAGAATAAATTACAAATAACGTGAAAAAACAAACATAATAGTACAATTGGTTAGAGGGCTGTAAAACGGCAGCCATCTTCTCCGGCTGTGCGTGTTTGTGTGTGTGTGTGTGTGGGACTTCCTGTGAAGTTCTGAGAATGCTCATTGGAAAACAGACAGGGTCACGTTTGGGCTGTTTGGATCGGTCTGCCAGTATTGTAGGGGGAGGGTTGTTTATGCGACCCACAGCTGTCTGTCAGCAGCTACTGACTGCAGTAAAGTGGTTGTGTGGGGAGGAGAGAGAAGATTACACTGTCTTGTTGAGGTAAGCTCAGTTTGGTCTTTCTGGGATCCTGCATGTATGTGTTTGGTGGAGGAAATGACCCCTCTGAGATGTGGTTGATAGGAACGTGCACATGTGTGTGTGTTTGCGTGCATGTGCGTGAGAGAGAGAGAGAAACTCTGGTTAAGAGCCAGAATAGCTTTGCTCCACTGCAGAGGTAAAAAAGCCTGATCAGCATCACAAAGGTTTCTACGAAACACATGAACCACTGCCAGCTCCTCTCTGTGTGGGACCCAGCAGGGAGGGGCAGACTCTGTTCTCAGGCGTTCCATGCAGGTCTGAGACAAACAAACACACATACACACACATACAAACACACACACACACACACACAAAATCACTTCACAACAAAATCACTTCACAAACAGCCCCTGTCCCTGAGTAGTAAACCAACAGTGTGTATAGTAGTCAGTCACTCAGTCTGTTAGTCTGTCCCTGTGCTGGTTGGGTGCTGGCTGAGACTGAGACTAGATAAACAAGCCTGAAGTGGCCAGTGTCTGTCTTTTGTGAACCCAATTCTCTGTGTTCTGTGTTCTGTGTGTTTGTGTGTGTGTGTGTGTGTGTGTGTTCAGGCTCTGTGAATGCCAGCTCTGTGTCCCACGTGTTGGAGACGCTCCAGTGCCTCGTTCTTTTCCCACAATGCACTCTGTCTCTGTGGAGTAATGACCGTGGTGAACGGGGCCTCTCTCAGTCAAACCCCCCTAATTCTCTCTCATTCATCTGATGTGTGTGTGTGTTTTTGGTTTTACTATCCTTGTGGGGATCAGAAATCAATTCAGACAGTTGGGACATTTCGCTGGTCCACACAAGGAAAAAGGCTATTTTCAGCTTAGGGGTTAGGTTTAGGGTTAGGGTTACAATTAGGGTTAGAATTAGGTTTAGGGGTTAGGCTTAGGTTTAGGGTTAGGATTAAGGGTTTTAGCGAAAATATGATTTTGTATGGGAATCAATTGTTTGGTCCCCACAAGGATAGTAAAACAAACGTGTGTGTTAATTGGTTTTGGTTTATTGGTTTATTGGGATCCCCATTAGCTCTGGCCAAAGCAGCAGCTATTCTTCCTGGGGTCCAAAAAAAAACATAAAACACGACAAGTAACAAAGCACTGGTACACTGATAGACAAGAACAGTCACACAAATGTAAAATGCAATGATATGCAAGCAATACAACAAAAAAATAATGTGTGTGTAGATTGTGTGTGTTAGAGTGTGTTTTTTTAAGGTAATTTTACTTTGCTTGAGTAATTGGAGTTCTAAGGGAATTCCGTGCGATCATGGCTCTGTATAATACTGTGTGTTTCCTGTGAATTCGTTTTGGACTTGGGGACTGTGAAGAGACCCCTGGTGGCATGTCTAGTGGGGTATGTATGGGTGTCTGAGATGTATGTTATTTGATTATGCAGACAACCTGGAATTTTCATCACAGTAATATTTCTCATAAAAACTAGAAGAGAAGCAGATAATCTCTCGGCAACCCTCAACAAGGAAAGACTGGCATGCATGTTGTTGATTTTAGTTATGTATGTAGTTAAAGGCATGCTGCTCTGTTTTGAGCCAGCTGCAGTTTTGCTAGATCTTTCTTTGCTGCACTTCACCATATTACCAGACAGTAATCAAGACGGGACAAGACCCTGAACAACTAGTACAGTTGATTTTTGTGTCAAAAACATATTTTTATAACAGACATACCCTTCCCCATCTTCACAGTAACTTGGTCAATATGACTTGACCATGATAACTGATCATCCAATGTTATACCTAGGAGTTTAACTTCCACAACTTGCTCAATGGTCACACACCTTATGCACAACTCCAGTTGAGGTTTAGGTCTTTGAGACTATTTTGAACCAAATACTTTCCTACCATTTCTTTTAACCAATCATCAGTCATCTGAGTCAGTGCAGTACAAGTTGAGTGCCCTTCTCTATATGCATGCTGAAAGTCAGCCGTTAACGTGTTCTCTGAAAAAGAGCATTGTATTTGGCCAAACACAATTCTCTCCATCAGTTTACTAAGAACAGGCAGCAAACTGATTGGGCGGCTGTTAGAGCCAGCGAGGGGTGCATTACTATTTTTAGGCAGTGGAATTACTTTAGCTTCCTTGCACGCCTGTGGACACACACACTCCTTTAGGCTTTGGTTAAAGATATAGCAAAGGGGGTGGCAATATAGTCTGCTACCATTCTCAATAGTTTCCCATCAAGGTTGTCAATACCAGGTGGCTCGTCATTATTGATGGATAACAATTGTTTTTCCACCTCTCCCACACTAACTTGACCAAATTCAAAACAGTAATCCTTCTCTTTCATTATTAGATATTTTATACAAAATAATGATGGTTCACTGTTCAATGTTGTCATTTCACTTCAGAGTTTTTCCACTTTACTAGTGAAATAGTCATTGAAATGATTGGTAATATTGAAAGGTTTTGTTATAAATGACTCATCAACTTCAATGAACGAGATGAATTAGGTTTTCTGCTCATGATATCATTTAAGGTACTCCAAAGTATTTTTACATTGTGTTTTTTGTCATTTATGTTGGTTTGGTAATATACAGTGCTTTCGGAAAGTTTTCAGAACCCTTCCTTTTTTCCACATTTTGTTCACGTTACAGCCTTATTCTAAAATGGATTACATATATATATATTTTTTGCAATTTACACACAATACCCCATAATGACAAAGTCAAAACAGGTTTTTAGAAATGTTTGCATTTTTATTAAATATAAAAAACACAAATATCTTATTTACATAAGTATTCAGACCCTTTGCTATGAGACTCGAAATTGAGCTCAGGTGCGTCCTGTTTCGACTGATGGTCCTTGAGATGTTTCTACAACTTGTTTGGAGTCCAACTGTGGTAGATTCAATATATAAGGTCCCACAGTTGACAGTGCATGTCAGAGCAAAAACCAAGCCGTGAGGTCGAAGGAATTGTTCGTAGAGCTCTGAGACAGGATTGTGTCGAGGCACAATATAGCTGTGCAGCGACGCTCCCCATCCAACCTGACAGAGCTTGAGAGGATCTGCAGAGAATAATGGGAGAAACTCCCCAAATACAGGTGTGCCAAGCTTGTAGTGTCATACCCAAGAAGACTCGAGACTGTAATCACTGCCAAAGGTGCTTCAACAAAGTACTGAGTAAAGGGTCTGAATACTTATGTAAATGTGGTGATTCCGTTTAAAAAAAAATACATTTTCAAACATTTCTTAAAAACCTGTTTTTGCTTTGTCATTGTGGGGTATTGTGTGTAGATTGGTGAGGGGGAAAAAGCAATTTAATCAATATTAGAATAGGGCTGTAATGTAATAAAATGTGGAAAATGTGAAGGGGTCTGAATACTTTCCAAATGCACTGTAATTTCTTCTTCTTTTTGTTAAGTTTAGTCACAACATTTCTCAATTTACAGTATACAATCAGCTGAGCAGCCTGACTTGTTTGCCAACTCTTTTGCATCATTTACAATACAATTTTTCAATTCATCATCAATCCAGGGGGCTCCAGCAGTTCTCACAGTTAGTTTCTTAACAAGTGTGTGCTTGTCAACAATTGGCATTAATAATTGTACAAATAACGGGAACTGGATTCACTTCCTCATACACATCAGACCAACATACATCTTTTACATCTTCAGCAAAAGAGGCCTGAGAAAATGTTTTGTATGATATCTCTGTGTGTGTGTCTGTGCGCCTGTGTGTGTGCATGTGTGTTGTTGTTAACGTCTCTCTCTCTCTCTCTCTCTCTCTCTCTCTCTCTCTCTCTCTCTCTCTCTCTCTCTCTCTCTCTCTCTCTCTCTCTCTCTCGCTCTCTCGCTCTCTCTCTGTTTCTCTCTCGCTCTCTCTCTCTCTCTCTCTCTGTGTCTCTCTCTGTCTCACTCTCTCTCTCTCTCTCTCTCTGTCTCTCTGTCGCTGTCTCTCTCTTGTCTCAGGGTCTCTTCTCGGGAGCTCAATGGAGAGCAGGGACCTAAGGCCAGTGTGTTGAGCAGCACCTACACCCAGAACACAACATACACACACGCCGACGCAGACTGGGCACGCTCGCAGAGGTACATAAATATGACCCAACACACACACACAGACACACACACACACACCAGACATGACTAGAATAGAATAATATACAGTTTGGTTCGACTCATCTTGTCGTATGCCTTTGTAGATAAAAATAACTGCGTATGGCTGACAGTTGTTCTCTCTTTATGTCTGTGTCTCCCTCCCCCTGCTTTCTCTCTCCCTCCAGTGCTATATTAGAGCAGACACATACTCTGTCTATCCCTCCTAGTGGTGGTCTGTCCATCTCCTGTCCACAGCAGACTTCTGTCTTTCCTTCTCCTATCAGGTAAGTCATGTCACCATCCAATCTCACTCATCAGTATAGATTCATTAAGCCTTAAAAGTTATCCTTCGTTTCATTTCGGACCAACTACATATTGTCTACAATTATGGGACAGAAACCAGCAGAGATTTACCACTGGGCACAGTTCAACGTTTAGTTTTGATTTACATTTGTTTGAGTTGTTAACTAATGTGAAATCAACCAAAAATATAACCCTGTCATTGGATTTAGGTTAAAAGCTAGGTGACAAAAATATGAAATTCTCTTACGTTGATGACTTTTTGCAAATCCAATCAGTTTTCCACGTTAATTCAACATCATCACATTTGGTTGAAATGATGTGGAAACAATATTGATTCAACCAAGTTTTTTCCCAGTGTGTTTGTACTGTATTGTTTATGTCCATGAGTCAGGGTAGTGCTGGCTCAACCAATCACATCTCTCTGTGTGTCTGTTACTCAGCAGCCCCGGTGGCTCCCGCCCCTCCACTCCAAAGAGTGACTCGGAGCTGACCAATCAGAGCAAAGACAACCCTGAGATTCTGTGGGCCTGGGGGGAGCTGCCACAAGCTGCCAAGGTACAGAGGGCGGGAGGGAGGGAGATTCAGAGAGACAGAACAGGAATGAAGGGACACAAAGAGGGAGGGACAGTATGTCTAGCTGTAGTCCACACAGTGATCCAGGAATCAGGACTGATGTTGGCAGAGGAACTTTAATCACTTTAATCATCTTCCATGAGGGCAGCTGAGGACATGCTAATACCCTAGCGCTCACGCTAACCACACATCCTCTATCTCTCCTCTCTCTGCCTGTCTCTTCTTCTCTCCTCTCGACACCCAAACTCCTGCGTCCTTGATCTAGCATGCTTTCTTTCTTTCTTTTTCCTTTCTCTCTCCTCTCTCTTTCCCTCTCTCTACCTCTAGCCCTCCTACCTCCCTCCATCCCAGATGCAAGATTCTGGGATGAAGTCCCCTGTCTCCATCCCTGTGTGTGAGAGCACACACTTCAGGACCATCCCCGGAGACTGTGGCCCCCCTGGCCAGACCCAGAGCCACCCAGACAATGGCCCCCCATCCCTCACCCCTTACATGCCCCAGCCTGGGAACAACACGGCTGGGCCCGGGGCTGGGGGGGACATGGAGGTAGTAGGGGCAGCCTGTAGAGAGGTGGAGGGGCTGATGGCCTCTAGGTTGCTGTCAGAACTGGATGAGGGGGGCCAGAGGGGCAGCCCAGTCAGACGTACAGACTCCCCATCCAAGAGGAAAGGTACGCAACTCACAAGTCTTTTGGAACCATTACCTGCGAGCAGAATACAGACGGAGTACAAACGAATATACAAGTCAGTTTAGATTGCAGAATTTGAATTTAAACTGTCACTAAACATGCATTCACATCTGTAGATATGAATGCCTCCATCATTAGCTACATGTCAAGTTAATGAATGAAAATGCCATGTCAATCATTGTATCCATGGTAACTTGTGACGCTGTACCTGCAGACAAGAGGAGCCACCACCTGGGCTCTGATGGAATCTACCTGGATGACATCACTGAGTTGGAGCCAGAGGTGGCTGCTCTGTACTTCCCTAAAAGGTAACACAGCCCTCTAACACACACACACACCTGTAACACACACGCACTTACAAACAAACACAAACACACCTATTCTGTCCTACACATACACTCATCCTCCACTCCTGACCCTATGACCCTGTTCCTTAGTGACGGTTCAGTGAGAGGGGGCTCGGAGACAGGGGTGCGGAGCGCCAACCAATCCCCTCAGTCGGTGGGCAGCAGTGGGATGGACAGCGGTGTGGACAGCTACTCTGACCAGCTGGGAGACATGCCCAACATCGCCATTTCCCTGTGTGGAGGTCTCACTGACAACAGAGAGATCACAAACGGTACTGGCCATTAAACACATGGGCTGCATCTCAATACTGTGGGGTTGACTTCCTGGTATAACTGGATAGGTGCAAATTGTAGCTCCATCTACTTGCTGCCATATTGTTTTCACCTATCCAGCCCTCTCAGATCCACTAATTGGTGTGAGATCTATAGAACAGTTATATTAACCCTCTCCTGTCTGTGTGTCCTATAGAACACCTCCTTTAACCCTCTCCTGTCTGTGTCTCCTACAGAACAGTTCCAGGAGAGAGCCATCTCTTACCAGCAGTTCACTGAAAACCCCTCCATCATCGACGATCCCAACCTGGTGGTCAAGATAGGAACCAAGTACGTAAAATACCGTCCTCCTCCATATATCATTGAATGTGACCTATCCACTAGCCAAAATCCAGATGCTGATCACATCCCTGATAGGAAAAGTATGTTTGTACTGTATACCCTTTGTGCACTGTAAAAATACAGTACTACTGATAAGAAATTAACTGCAGACACTAAAGATACAACAGTGATCTTATGTTTGTGTCTTTTCTCCTCCAGGTACTACAACTGGACCACCGCAGCCCCTCTCATGCTGGCTATGCAGGTGTATCAGAAGCCCCTGCCAATGGTAAGACCTCCATAACATTAGCAATATGCTATTAGCATAGCATCTAGCCTACTCGGCTTGGTGATGAGATTGTGTGCTAATGTCAAATAGTGTACTACATTTGGCTACCTGAGTGGTTTTACCTGAGAGGTTTAAAACACTAATCATATTGCAATGTAAAGTGAGAAGTCCAATTGTAACCCATCTAGCTAAATCTGGTTCTGCGTCTGGCTTTGCGTGTTTTGTTTTTGTCTGAATTCTTATGTCCTCTGTGTCGTTTGGACTTCCTGTACACTGAAATGCGTACTCCTAAACCACGTCTCCTCCTAACACTTGAGTCTTTCTTCCCTCCTTGTTGGTCCCTTTTTTAATTTGTTCTCCCTCCATCTCACCTCCCATTTGGCCCTGTCTTGTGTGTCTTCAGCACTCCTGCCTGAGTTATGTGTACTCTGCCTTTGGCCTCTTCTCCTACTGTTTACCCAGTCTGTTCGGCTCCAGCCCCGTGGGTCCCTTTGGTTTCAGCTGTCTGTCTGTCTGTCTGTCTGTCTGTCTGTCTGTCTGTCTGTCTGTCTGTCTGTCTGTCTGTCTGTCTGTTGGGTATAGCATGTCTGTCTGTCTGTTGGGTATAGCATGTCTGTCTGTCTGTCTCTCTTAGTGTGTTATTCCTCTACTTCTCTCTCTTCTTTCTCTCCCAGTCTCTGTGTCTACCTCCCTTAGTTGCTACCTCTCTTCCTTAGATCACCATCATCCAGTCATACGACACACTTTCTTCAAGTTTTTGCTTTTGGGTTTTTGTATCTCTGTGTTTTTGCGTTTGAGTGGTTTTGTTGAGTTGGGGCTTTGGTCAGGAACTGTGTGCATTTGCTTCAGGCCACGGTGGAGAACATCATGAAGGAGAAGATGCCCAAGAAAGGAGGCCGCTGGTGGTTCTCATGGCGTAGCAGGAACAGCAACTCCAAATCGGTACACACACACACACCTCTGTAACACACACACCTCCTTAACATACACACCTATATAACACACACACCTGTGTAACACACACACACCTTTTTTTAGTTTATTTTATTTTTTATTTTACCTTTATTTAACTAGGCAAGTCAGTTAAGAACAAATTCTTATTTACAATGACGGCCTACACCGGCCAAACACGGACGACTGTATGGGACTCCCAATCACGGCCGGTTGTGATACAGCCTGGAATCGAACCAGGGGGTCTGTAGTGACGCTTTAAGCACTGAGATGCAGTGCCTTAGACCGCTGCGCCACTCACACACACCTCTATAACACACACACCTCTATAACACACACACCTCTATAACACACACCTTTATAACACACACCTCTATAACACACACACCTCTATAACACACACATACCTCCTGAACACACTTCCATAACATAACCATTTGGGAACCTTTGCAGAAGTTACAATGCTGGAGACCACCTGCCTATTTGACTAATGGAATGGGGTATTATATGCGTTAGTGTTTCCTGGTTGTTGTATGAGTGTGTGACTGGTTGTCTGTCCCCAGGACTCAGTGTCTGAGACAGGAGTTGGAGACGGGGGAGAGACCTCTCTCAGCATGGCTTCAGTCATTGGGTAATGACACTTCTCTAACACTAGAACAGTTTACAATGTATGTGCAATATGAATTAACTATGTTGAATACACATTTATATACCTTTGTTTACATATCCTCTTATAAATTACACAGAAAGGGGTGGTTTAATGGACACATATTAAGCCTAATCCTGGACTAAAAAGCATTTTCAATGGAGATTTCTTAATTAAGTTTACTTTTTAGTCCAGGACTAAATATAGTCTATAAACCGCCCGAAGAGGTTTATAGACTATATATATATATATATAATTTTTTTGTTTGTTTGTTGTATTTTACCTTCTTCTTCTCCCCAATTTCAATCTTGTCTCATCGCTGCAACTCCCCAACGAGCTCGGGAGGCGAAGGTCGAGTCATGCATCCTCTCCAAAACATGACCCGCCAAACCGCGCTTCTTAACACCCGCCGCCTTAACCCGGAAGCCAGCCGCACCTACGTGTCGGAGGAAACACTGTTCAACTGACGACCAAGGTCAGCCTGCAGGCGCCCGGCTCGCCACAAGGAGTCGCTAGAGCGTGATGAGCCAAGTAAAGCACCCCCGGCCAAACCCTCCCCTAACCCGGACAACACTGGGCCAATTGTGCGCTGCCCTATGGGACTCACGATCACGGCCAGTTGTGATACAGTCCGGGATCGAACCCGGGTCTGTAGTGACGCCTCTGCGATGCAGTGCCTTAGACCGCTGCGCCACTCGGGAGGCCACCTATAGACTATATTTTATTAATAAATTGTTATATAGTCAGATATGTATTTATAGCTGAACTGATGTTGTAACTGTTGTTGCAACACAGAATGAAGGAGGAGTCTTCCTCCAGCGATGAGGAACACAGATCCAATCAGGGCTCAGAATCCTGCCAGGCCGAGCCTCTTCTCACACCTGGTAGTGTCTTCTACAGGAAGACCCTCAGACTGAACCCAGAGCAGCTGGTGAGACTCAACACTGTTCCCCTAACCTCTGTTAAGCTAACTTCTGATCTCAGAACTGCTGGTGAGAAACACAATACTTCTCACCTCTTTTGATGCGGCGACGTTGAACTGTGTATTCTCAGGCCAGTCTTCAGTTGAACCAATCAGTAGCAGGGTTAGAGTTAGTAGAGGCTGTATGGGTAATGTAGTCTTTCTGCCCTCAGGCAAGTCTGCAGTTAAACCACTCAGTAACAAGGTTATGCTGCATTCAATAAAATTTGGAACTCTGAAAAAAATTAGCTCCGACTTAAAAAAATCTATTTGAACGGTCATCAAAGTTGGTATTACAAGTAGGAAACTCTGGCATCATCCTAGAGCTCCGACTTCTCCGACCTAAAGATCCAACAAAAAACATGGCGGCCTTCATTGTTTACATAAAAATATGTATTCTCACCTTAAGCATTTCCTATCTTCTTTAAACAGTTTAGCAAGAAGCATTTAGCATCTCTGCAGGTGTTTTTGATTCCTTCAGGCGTCCATGTTTTTGTTGACAGCTTGAGCGCACTGAAGTGGGAGGTCGAAGACTTCCTAGTCAGGATCGCCGAGTTTGCCGACTTGTCTTGAACGCACCATTAGTTAGTAGAGGCTGTTTGGGTAATGTAGTCTTTCTGTCCTCAGGCCAGTCTTCAGTTGAAGGAGGGTCCTAATGAGGTGGTGTTCAGTGTGACCACTCAGTACCAGGGCACCTGTCGCTGCCAGGGCACCATCTACCTCTGGAGCTGGGACGACAAGATCGTAATCTCAGACATCGATGGCACCATCACCAGGTAAGTGTGTGTGTGTGTACGTGTGTGCGTGCATGAGTTTGTATTGCCAGTTGTATGTGATCATGTTATATCTGTTAATGGTGTGTGTGTGTGTGTGTGTGTGTGTGTGTGTGTGTGTGTGTGTGTGTGTGTGTGTGTGTGTGTGTGTGTGTGTGTGTGTGTGTGTCCTCTCTTGCAGATCTGACACCTTGGGCCACATCCTGCCAACGCTGGGTAAAGACTGGACCCACCAGGGTATTGCCCGCCTCTACCACCGAGTCAGCCAGTGAGTCTCCCACACACAGTTGAAGTCGGAAGTTTACATACACGTTAGCCAAATACATTTATACTCAGTTTTTCACAATTCCTGACATTTAATCCTAGTAAAAATTCCCTGTCTTAGGTCAGTTAGGATCACCACTTTATTTTAAGAATGTGAAATGTCAGAATAATAGTAGAGAGAATGATTTATTTCAGCTTTTATTTATTTCATCACATTCCCAGTGGGTCAGAAGTTTACATACACTCAATTAGTATTTGGTAGCATTGCCTTTAAATTGTTTAACTTGTGTCAAACGTGTCGGGTAGCCTTCCACAAGCTTCCCACAATAAGTTGGGTGAATTTTGGCCCATTCCTCCTGACAGAGCTGGTATAACTGAGTCAGGTTTCTAGGCCTCCTTGCTTGCACACGCTTTTTCAGTTCTGCCCACACATTTTCTATAGGATTGAGGTCAGGGCTTTGTGATGGCCACTCCAATACCTTGACTTTGTTGTCCTTAAGCCATTTTGCCACAACTCTGGAAGTATGCTTGGGGTCATTGTCCATTTGGAAGACCCATTTGCGACCAAGCTTTAACTTCCTGACTGATGTCTTGAGATGTTGCTTCAATATATCCACATACATTTCCTTCCTCATGATGCCATCTATTTTGTGAAGTGCACCAGTCCCTCCTACAGCAAAGCACTCCCACAGCATGATGCTGCCACCCCCGTGCTTCACGGTTGGGATGGTGTTCTTCGGCTTGCAAGTGACCCCCTTTTTCCTCCAAACATAACGATGGTCATTATGGCCAAACAGTTCTATTTTTGTTTCATCAGACCAGAGGACATTTCTCCAAAAAGTACGGTCTTTGTCCCCATGTGCAAACCGTAGTCTGGCTTTTTTATGGTGGTTTTGGAGCAGTGGCTTCTTCCTTGCTGAGCGTCCTTTCAGGTTATGTCTATATAGGACTATTTTTTCGGTGGATATAGATACTTTTGTACCTTACATGTTTCCTCCAGCATCTTCACAAGGTCCTTTGCTGTTGTTCTGGGATTGATTTGCACTTTCACACCAAAGTACGTTCATCTCTAGGAGACAGAACGCATCTCCTTCCTGAGCGGTATGACGACTCCGTGGTCCCATGGTGTTTATACTTGCGTACTATTGTTTGTACAGATGAACGTGGTACCTTCAGGCGTTTGAAAATTGCTCCCAAGATGAACCAGACTTGTGGAGGTCTACCATTTTTTTCTGAGGTCTTGGCTGATTTCTTTTGATTTTCCCATGATGTCAAGCAAAGAGGCACTGAGTTTGAAGGTAGGCCTTGAAATACATCCACAGGTACACCTCCAATTGACTCAAATGATGTAAATTAGCCTATCAGAAGCTTCTAAAGCCATGACATCATTTTCTGGAATTTTCCAAGCTGTTTAAAGGCACAGTCAACTTAGTGTATGTAAACTTCTGACCCACTGGAATTGTGATACAGTGAATTATAAGTGAAATAATCTGTCTGTAAACAATTGTTGGATAAATTACTTGTGTCATGCACAAAGTAGATGTCCTAACCGACTTGCGAAAACTATAGTTTGTTAACACGAAATTTGTGGAGTGGTTGAAAAACGAGTTTTAATGACTCCAACCTAAGTGTATGTAAACTTCCGACTTCAACTGTAACTATAGATGGGTGTTAGAGTAATGAAACAGGGGTCACATTCAGAATATGGCTCAATGTAAGATGAATGAATCATGTCAGCTTTATTCATGGTGTTTGGCTTAGCACGTTGCAGCATCATGAAGGAAGCCATGTCCCTGACGCTCGTTAGTTGAACTCCTGTCCCCTCCCTCTCTAGTAGGAATTACTAAGAGAGTAGAAAAATGTCATCTCTCTCTCTCTCTCTCTCTCTCTCTCTCTCTCTCTCTCTCTCTCTCTCTCTCTCTCTCTCTCTCTCTCTCTCTCTCTCTCTCTCTCTCTCTCTCTCTCTCTCTCTCTCTCTCTCTCTCTCTCTCTCTCTCTCTCTCTCTCAGGAATGGTTATAAGTTTATGTACTGCTCTGCAAGGGCCATAGGTATGGCTGATATGACGAGGGGGTATCTTCACTGGGTCAATGAGAGAGGAACCATGCTGCCTATAGGACCTGTCCTACTCAGCCCCAGCAGCCTGTTCTCAGCCCTGCACAGGTGAGGAACACACACACACACACATCATCAAAATAAACACAGCAGAAGTGTCAAACACAATAGAGAACAATGTACAGTACATTTTAGCAGACGCTCTTATCCACAGCATACATTTTCATACTGGTCCCCCATGGGGATTAAACCCACAACCCTGACGTTGCAAGCACCATGCTAAACCAATTGAGCCCCACGGGACCACAATAGCTTATATAGTAGAGATATCCCTATATTGTATAATGATCATTCTGACCTTCCTGTCCTGTCGTCCTTCCTGTCCTGTCCTGTCCTGACCTGTCGTTCTGTCCTTCCTGTCCTGACCTGTCATCCTGTCCTGGCCTGTCGTCCTGGCATGTATTGTCCTGTCATCCTGTCTTTCCTGCCCTATCATTCCTGTCCTGTCTTGTCTTGTCCTGTCATGTAGGGAGGTGATAGAGAAGAAGCCTGAGAGGTTTAAGATTGAGTGTCTGACCGACATCAAGCAGCTGTTCTACCCTAACACTGAGCCTTTCTACGCAGCCTTCGGCAACAGAGCCACGGTGAGAGCCCTGCTCCCTCCAACACTGTACACATTAACTTTGGCTACTTTTTAGATTCATTTGACTGGGACCATACACATTCTATACATTTTATATTTACATTTCGGTCATTTAGCAGACGTTCTTATCCAGAGCGACTTACAGCCAGTAATCAACTTTTTTGCAAATGTGACAGATTCAGCCTAAAGGCTAATTTCAAACAGAATATTATGTTTGCTGCTGTTGTGGTTGTGTATGTGTTTTTGGATAGTATGTCAGTTGTTGTTGTTGTTGTTTAGGATGTGTACTCCTATAAGGAGGTGGGCGTTCCCCTAAACAGGATCTTCACAGTCAACCCCAAGGGAGAGCTGATACAGGAACACGCTAAGACCAACATCTCATCGTAAGACCTCTCTGACTCTTACTTTATCCCTCTATCTTTTTCCCTCATATGTCAATGTCTCTCTCTCCCTCAGTAGCTCTGTCTCTCTCTGTCTCTGTCTATGTTTATGAACAATGAAAGTAAATTAAGTGAAGTATATTTCTGTTCATGTCCCTTCCAGGTATGGTCGTCTGTGTGAGGTGGTGGACCATGTCTTCCCCCTGTTGATCAGAGGCCACGTCTCAGACTTCTCCTGCCCTGACACCTTCAGCCAGTTCACCTACTGGAGAGAACAGCTGCCCCAGATCCACAGCCCCGACCATCCCTTGGTCCACAGCCCCGACCAGCCCCTGGTCCACAGCCCCGACCAGCCCCTGGTCCACACCCCCGACCAGCCCCTGGTCCACAACCCCGACCAGCCCCTGGTCCACACCCCCGACCAGCCCCTGGTCCACAACCCCGACCAGCCCCTGGTCCACACCCCCGACCAGCACCTGGTCCACACCCCCGACCAGCACCTGGTCCACACCCCCGACCAGCCCCTGGTCCACACCGCCGACCAGCCCCTGGTCCACAGCCCCGACCAGCCCCTGGTCCACACCCCCGACCAGCCCCTGGTCCACACCCCCGACCAGTCCCTGGTCCACACCCCCGACCAGCCCCTGGTCCACAGCCCCGACCAGCCCCTGGTCCACACCCCCGACCAGCCCCTGGTCCACACCCCTGACCATCCTCTGGGCATCAGCTGTGGAGACCCACTTCCACATCAGACCACCCCATAAGTGACCTGTGTGCAATCTGGGAAGGAAAGGGAGAGACACATTCATGATGATGACGGCATGCAAATGAAAGAAGCATGTCCCTGCTCTAATGTCACACACACAGAGCAATGTGGACCTTAACACACACATGGTTGCCATGTGCCCACTTATGCACTAGTGAAAGTGTACTCGCTACAACAACAGGCATGTTAGCACTGAGTGGTATTTCTATGTACTCACCTTTCCTATTTATGTTCTAGTCCTCAGTGTTTTTCTCTACAATACCTAGCCTACTGTTTATCAGGTGGAAAAGGTACTACGTTTATACACTTGCAGGTGCTGCAACTCCAACAACAAGCACTGATTCAGTCAAACTGGGGGAAATCACTGTGAAGAACAGCCTATCAATGACAGCTATTTCACCCAATTAACATTGCCTTATTGATTATTGCACTTTTAGTCTGCAATGTGGGTACAGTAAACCGCAATGCATATTTGATTGACACTTTCAGATCTAACATTCACATAAAGTGCCAATATAATAAATGCTGAACAATTCAAGATTATGCTCAACTAGCAGTGAAAATATTATAGCACACGATGATAATTCAGTTCACCTGTTCCCCTACAAACATGTATCAATATAATGCGTTTTAAAGCATGTTTCTATTCTAGTAGTAGCATTCCATATGAGCTTTTTCTTCTTTATTATTATTATTGGATTATTTTTGTCATGTTCTGTGAATGGTAGATATGTTAGTGATCAATTGAACTAAAACAGGTAACTAACCGGTGTAGCTCTTCACTTCACTTTATTAACAAGGCACTAAGGAGGGCTGTCTCTCTCGTTGATGCCTCTCGCCATAGTCATCAATAGTCCTTAAATGGTCATTTAGCCAAACACTTGAGAAAAGACTCATGTAAAACTGACATCACTCTGATAATAAGCAATACAAGAAAAAAGTCAGGTTGTCCGTTTTAGCAGTTGTCTTGTCTTAATTTCACATCTCATCACGGTTTCTACGGACCGTGACACATATAACATATCAGATTCTCACTGTGTGCAGTGTCATTGTTTTGGCTAACATTAACAGATAATATTGTGCAGACAATAGAAAACATATTATGTAATCTGCTTTGGTTGTCCATCATCTTAAACTCTGTGGGTAACTGCGAGATGAGAGTAATCTACAAATGTATGAACTATTTAATTAATTTCACATTTTTAAGCACGCAGCTTGTGAACACACTTGGATTTGGCCTTTGGTTTTTATTTCATTGTATATATTGTGTTTATGTGATTGAATCTGAATAGAGTTTTGATGTTCATTCTCACTTTTGTAAATAGTGCAATCTTTTTTAGTGATTGAATTCAGAAACATTGTCAGTAAGTGGCTGGCTGCTGGACTAAAGTAGTTTGAGCTTTAATGGCTAACAACATTTTGCACTGACAGACTATAGTGTCCACTGAAGCAAAACCATTGAGGAGTTATTCTACAGTAAAACAATCAATATTCTCCTGAATTCTAGAATCTACTACTTAGATACAAAGAGAACATAGATAAATAGATTACAGTGAAATTATGTTCCTTGTAATTTCAGCAATTAGAATGCACAACAACCTTGAAGATTCTAAACCTCCTCAAAGGGTTTAAAGCACAAAGCACTAACAACATAGCCTGTCTGTCCATCATATCTCTGTTGTGAACAGAGCAGGTGGCAGTATGTGTCTATGAGTGGCTACAATGGAATGTGTATCAATATATGAATATTGTGCAATTGCCAATGTTATCCTGTATGTAGTATGGATGGAAATTCAAGACGTCCTGTATTACCTGAATGAATACTAACACTGTGATACAGTATTTCTCTCTTTTCTATTGATCATATTGATGACCACTATAAACCTGATCACATCACTATGAAGGAGAGAAGGTTCCCACTGTCCCTATGTCATATACCATATTGATTACTTTCAATACCTTTACATTCACTTTGGTTGAGTTGAAACATCCATTACCATGTTTCTGGAGTATTGTGACATAGCGACTAATGTGAGATGTTGGATTTACCACCAACCTAAGAGGTGTGTTGGTATTTGGAGGATAAAGGATGGATGGATGGTAGGATGAATGGATGGATGGATGGATGGATGGTAGGATGAATGGATTAGTCAATGGAGGCATGTGATATCACTGTTGTGTTGTGTTTACTCCTCCTCTGTGTCATTGTGTTCTGTTGTCCCCTTACTGTACTCTCATAAGATTTGTTCCAAGTATGTTAAAGTACTACTGTATATTCTGGTTAAATTACTGTATTCTTTCTGTGAAAGATCCATATAAACAAAGAGCTTGTTGCCTTACAGTATGTCGTGGCTGTCTCTGCCCTCTTTAGTTTGTTTCTGAGATGTACAGAGTCAATTACTCTAGCACTGTGTCATGTTGTATAGGTTAACAATCCAGTCTGAAAATAACTGTGTATTGAAAATAAGTATTTCAATAAATGCAAAGATGATTGTTGATGGATGTGTATATGTCTCAGTTCTCCTCCCTGTAGTTAACATGATATGAAACCAGAGGCAGAGAGAGCATGTGTAGTATTTCTTGAGTTTTAGAGGTTTTCCTGACCACATGACTGAAAAGTAACAGGACCATGACTCCACTCTACAGAGCAAAACTAACACCCATATTGTCCATGTATACAATGGTATTGCTCCATGGCTTTGTGAAGGCTGGGTACCTACTGCCATCTAGTGGAATATATACGTATAACACCTTTGATATAAAGCCCATGTACAGTAATCAGCTCACTGACAGATCTGTCTAATACTCACGGGGATCACATGTAAAATAATTTTTACAATAACAAAACTGATTATATTATTTAAACCAGTCTGAATTTTTGTCAGGTCTTCCTGACAGGAGGTGAATCAAGCATTTCGCTACACCCGCAATAACATCTGCTAAATATGGGACCAATAAAATTTGATTTTAATAAACATTTGATTTGTGATGGACCGGAGGGGCTCCAGAGAAAAGAACTGTACCACAACGGTTTTACTTTCACTTATTAGTTTCCTCATCTACAACATCTGTGTGTGAGAGACGGTAGGTAAACTATTATTTTCTTTAGTTTTGTTCAATAGTTGTTGGGAATCAGTAGGAGATTATTTCCAGACAATCATGTTTATCATAAAAAATCTAATACATAAAAACAAAAAATAATTGAAGGCATTAGTCCCTGAGTCAACCATGTGACAACTATAATTGTTTCACTCTATGTAGGGCAGTGTCTCTACCATAGTTGATATTTCCTGGCTATGAACATTTTTCCATCCACATTAAATGAGTAATCCTCCTTTTAAAGTATTTCATTATGAATGATGAGAGGAGAAATTAAGACAAGACAACTGAAAAAAATGATAAAAATAGGAACTGATCAGGGTACTCCAGACGATAGCTGTTCCTCATTTGCTCATCTGCAGAAACTTCTTGACCATCTGTGATATAACGTCTTGTCATAGTGTTGTATGAACAAAGTTACATCTGTTAGATAGGTAACTCTTGGCGCCACAGAGTCTGAATGCTAAGGATTCCAGTATGTCGAGGGAGCTTACTGGGGTTTATCTTAGAATGATTGATAGATGGAATATACTGACTTGGGTACAGGGTGATACCATCAGAGTGGGGAGTGCCCACTGATGGTTACCAGATGTTGTTGAAGAAACGTGTAACATGAAGTATATAAACTGAGAGATTTCCTTTGTTCAGTGTTTGGATGACAGGAGGCAACGCATGTGCCGTTTGTTATACAAACCCAGTACCGCAATCAATTAAATACTTTGCATCAACTCTCCATTTAAATGTTTAAGTATATTCTTGCATCCTGAATTACTTGATACCAGAGAAACTCATCATAACAGATTAGCGTCTACGAACGGGAAACAGTTTCATCCCAACCAACAGGTAAGCAGACTTTAATTTTTTGGGATTGTGTTAAACTCTGCTTATCTGTGGTAAGGCTGAGCTGTAAAGAACGGTTTGAATTCTATATTTTAAAAGGGCGAAGATGAGTTGTATTGAGTTATTTGATGAGATGTAAGGATAAATATCGAATTAGGCAAGGACATGGTGTTATGATTCAAAATAGGGTGAGTTCGAAGTAATGAGTAAAAGCAACAGAGGATAAACGAGTGGGCACAGGACTTCCCTTAATGTGTAATTGCATTATAAAGAGATTGGGTGTTAGTCCCTTAATGTTTGAAGTACATTATAAAAGAGAATGGGCGCAGGAATTCCTTTAATGTTTAAAGTACATTGTAAAGAGGAAGTGCGTTTTATTCCCTTAATGTTTAAAGTACATTGTAAAGAGGGAGTGTGTTTTATTCTCTTAATGTTTAAAGTATATTGTAAAGAGGGAGTGCATTTTATTCCCTTAATGTTTAAAGTACATTATTAAAAAAAAGTACAGAATTAGTCCTTTGTGAATTACTCAAAAAGGGCATGGAGAGAGATCCGTTCAAAAACAACATTTCTCATGTTGTTGGTATTCTGGTTGGCAAATGGATGAGACAGAATGGGGGTTAGAGATGGTAGCTGCTCGGATGAGACATTGAAATTGGGACATTGTTATGGGCAATCCAAGTTGAACTATAAAGCTATCTGAAGAACATAATGAAGAAACGCCAGAAGTTTGAGTGCCGGGGAAGGACGGGTCTGGTCAGCTGTGTCCATAATTGATTTGAACTTCTCTAAAGTTGATAATTTGGGTATGAGGTTGATGTAGGAGGTATATACACTGCTAGATTTATAGTAATTTGGACTAAGAAAGCATTGTGATAATGATCTGTAATTATTCTCATGATGAGGAAGGTAATAGTAGAATTATGGATAGTTATACGGTACGTTAATATAAATGTACATTCTGACAGGGGTAAGGTGTGCTAAGTTGAGGGTTTTTAACTTTGTGTATAGAAACCCCAATCCCAGGGATTCCCCGCATCCGGGGCCCCCAACGCAAAT